GCGGCCTGGCCGCCAGGTCGCCGGGGGTGCGGAGGACGCTGCCCAGGTAACGGGGAAGCGGCGGTGGCCGCCCTGAGGCGCAGCGAAGCTTCTCCCGCGCACCCCCCTGAGGGGCTTTAAATGGCACCGGGCCGGCCGCGCCTGCAGCTTCGCGGTTGCCTTGCGGCAGGGAGCGATGGGTCTGGGAAGGCCTCTAATGCCGGGGATTGTAACCCCCTGAACTGGTACAAAATATAATTTAGGCTTAGATTAGCCAGGCCTAGATTAGTTTTCCCACTCTAAAACGAGCATGTACTTAACTATCTTAGGACGCTGGGATGTTAGCATGTAACATGTTAATTGGCTGCGTTGTGTGCTCTTAAGCAGCTGAAAGATAAAGTTGCTTGTTAATGTTGACACAAGCCAGGTGTTTGAAGTCCAGCAAATGCCATTGTTAACTGTCTTCCTCAATAGAGTACAGTAACAATTAATAAATAACAGCCTCATTACTTAAATTGAGTAACGTGTTCACAAAACGTCGCAGCATGGATATCTCCTTTGAGCCTTGTTCAAGCTGTTACACAAACCCTACGTGAATGCACATACATGCAAGGACATGAGGGTAGGTTTGGTGTAATGGAAGCTTTGGAAACACACAAGTTTTTGAAAAGACCATTTTTTTAAAATGCTAGTATTTAAATGTCCAGAAAAAGGCTGTAAATCTTTAGAAGACACACACTGCTAAGTATCAAACATATCCCCCAAACTCTTTGTCTTATTATTTCCAGGTTCTCCTGCTAACTTGGGATTGAACACATAGAAAACATCAGTAGTTGGCATTGGTATCTGCTATCTATTTACTAGTAAGCAAAGAAGTTTCCAACTCTTTTGATATCAAAATTGTACTCTAATTTTACTTGATTTTAAAAAGTAGAATGTAGAACAATTGTGTTCAGAAATTTTTCTGACAAAGCTTTGCTTAACTCAGCAGTCATATATTTGGGGATTATGTAGCTGGTTTATGGTTTTAGCTCTCTTTTTAATATTTCTTTTTCAGGCAGAAGCTATTCAACAGACTGCAAGTAATATTACAACATTTGGTAAGAACAGCATCTTGTTTGACTGAGTTGGAAACATTTAGGACTCTTAACTCCCCTGAGACAGCCAGTACATGCAATTCTAATGTGTCTGCTCACAGTTGTTCTGAATGCCATCAGTTATTGCTCAGGCATAACGTAGCCCACGTCTTTGAACACTTTGTTACAAATTTCTATTACACTGTAAGTTAAAATTTAATTATTTTGGCCTTACCTACTTTTACAGTTAGTTTCCATGTTAGCTTCCGTATATTCCTTAAATATCATTCAACTGTGAGTTTGAAATCAATTGTGAAAATAGTGATTTGTTCTTTACTTTTAAAAGTTATTTACAGACAAAGCAATGTGTACATTTGATTTTGCAGTGTGAAACAGCCAGTAGGGACACATGGAACTGTCATTGTTATAATTGTTGCAGGTATTTTCAGAATGTCAAGTCTTAAAGAACCATGGTTTTGTGTTTTGTTGTTTGTTTTTTTAAAATGAACTCAAATGTCATTGTCAAAGAGTATGTGTCCCAAAAACTTGTCTGAGGTTTATTACTCTGAAGGACTCAAACATAAAGTGGTTTCAGGAAATGCAAGAAATCTTGAAGTACAGTGAGAAAGCCTTAGCATGCAATTCCAAAATGCATGTTTTATGATCTTAAATAGTGCGTTTTGAGAATATATTTTCATAAACATTCTTGTACGTATGTTACACAAGGTATCTAACTGATGACATTTGCTTTATTTATTTGTTTTTGCGTGTACAGAAAATGTCTAAGCATACAGATTCAACAGCTGAAGTGTTGTTGGAAAAGAGAGGAGGTGCAGGAATAATAACTTTGAATAGACCCAAGGCTCTCAATGCACTAAATCTTTCTATGATCCAACAAATTTATCCACAAATAAAGGTTAGTACCTCCACTTCTACCCATCCACTATACATACATTATCCAAAACCAATTTTAAGTCAGTCTGAGACTTCTTAGTGTACTGATTTAAAGAATGAAAGTCTGTGTGAGTGCATTGGCCAATGAGCTCAGACTTATAGGATGGGAAAGAACAGACAGTTTCAAGCAAGTTTGATATGTCTTCTCCTCTTTCTAAGAAACAAGCTGTCAGACAAAGTTAAATTTAGCATCTGGGTAGATAAGAGACACCCGTATTAAAACCAGGCCTGAATTAAAAGCAATCAGTGCTCAGAGTTTATATATTCCTTTTGGCAACATCTAGCTGGTCAGTCGGCATGCACAAATTCCGAACTATATGGTGGTGTTGCCTTTTGATTGGGTGCGTGTTTTGTGAGGAGGCTGCGTGGCTGAAATAAAGGCTACAAGTCATTAGGAAGCAAGGTACTGTCAGTGTCATTCCTTAAAGAACGCTATGGATTTACAGGCACTGTTTCTACAAGCTAGTGAAGTAATGTGAAATTTTAAGCATGCAAATAGTCCTTTTTAATTTGATGATATTATTTATCCTATGCACAAAGTCAAACTTAGTAGATACCAGTATTTGTTGGATGGCTGCCCGCCTTTTGGTATTTTGGTAGATGGCTGTGTTGCAAATTTATGCATTCTTTGAAGAACATTTAAAGAAAAAATACTTAATCTGTAGTGCTGAGTACCAGGCTTTATTTGAAGCACAACCTTAAAAGGTGGCATAATTTTAAGTACAGTTGCTGGTACACAGAAATGTCTTGTCCCTTTTTTATCTGGGTACACTTACTTGAATAAGCGATATATAAGCATAGTTTAAGGGGGGTGAGAAGCCCGTAAAAGGCATCTTTTTCTCAATATGGTTGCACTACTGCTGAAATCTTGTGCCAGTGTATTTAATTCAGGCCCCCCCCATAGTCTTTGTACCTCGCAAAACATCTGTGCGTGAATTGATCTGAGCCAGTCCTTGATTAGCATTGATTGCAGTCATTTTGACAAAATCCATCAACAATTTAAATGCTGTTTTCCTTGCCATGCGTCTTAGATTTACACAACTTTCATGATTTGGCCTGAAACACTGTTACTATATCTTCCATATTCCCAGCTTTCTGCCCCAGCATTGTGTTCCCATTGAGGTTTATGATGGGCCCTTTTTTAGGGAGTGCTACCCTTTTTCAGGGATTGGGAGCTCTGCATAGGCATTTTTCTGAAATATGCGAGGCAACTCTGCTGATCTCTGATGTCAAGATTGACTAGGACACAGGAGTGGCAGAAAGACATTTAGCTCTCAAACTTCAATTTAAGGCAAACTATTTTAAGTATGGTTTGATTTGCTCTTTGAAAGAGTCAAATAAGAATTATAGACGGTATACAGAGAAGATATTTTTTTGCACAGACTTCAATCTTACATGGAAATATTTACTACTTTTTAGACTTGGGAGCAAGATCCTGAAACTTTTCTAATAATTATAAAGGGAACTGGAGGAAAAGCTTTTTGTGCTGGGGGTGACATCAGAGGTAAGGACTGTAGTCGCTTAAATGTTTGACATATCTTTGCCAGTTATTACTTTGCCTTGATTTCCTTTATTTACTGTGACTCATGTAAACGGAGGCTTGCTACACAACAGTAAGAGAGATTAGTTGTGCTGACTTCTTATAAAACCTTGATGTGCAGATGTTATTTATTTGTCAGGAGACAGCTGTTGGAACGTTGTATAAAAGAGTAAAAACTGGGCTTTTTATGAATAACTGGTAATAGCAGGCAATCATTCCTGGGAAGAGAGGGTTCTCGTCTCTACTTTCTTCTTCCCAGATTTTCATTACTGACAGCTTCTTTACAAGAAATTTGAAGGGTCCTAATAGGTAGCTCTGTTACTACTGGATAATTTGTGTCTGATGTTTGAGATGGCTAGATACAGAGCTGACAATGGTGATGAATATATCTGTGATTATTTTGTAAGTATGAACTGTAGGAAGTCTCCAAACTGAAAATTAGCAGTTGTTTTAAATTTTAGGTAAACGAGCAACACAGGTTATTGTTAAATTATGCCCTGCTCTAATTGGCTTCTCATTTTTAGTATGCAGAGTCTTCAGTATAATCAGTTTTAAGTGGCTGTTTTATATATTGATATGAAATATCGCAAATGAGACTACCAGATGTTAGGAGGTGTTCCATAGCGTAGAAAATGGACTGCATTCTCACAAGAAGTATGTGACAAAGTCTCCAGCATAACAGAATTGACTCAAATTTGAAACTTTGCATTCAAATTTAAGTTTGAGCAAATTTTCTCAAATAAAATGAAGCAGGATTAAGTTGTTGTTTGCTGAAGGAAAAAACCTGTTACCATGTGATACTGATTTTTTTACTTGTTATTGTATTTTCTATTAAACTTATAGTTATCTTTAGAATTTTTATGTCTCTTAAGCCATCACAGATGCAGGAAAAGTTGGAGATAGACTGGCACAAGATTTCTTCAGAGAAGAATATATCCTGAACAATGCTATTGGTATGTTTAATAGCAAATTCTGAAGCAGTACAATTTTCATAATAGTGGCTTTGAATGTAAATTCAATTTCTCTCTTTGCTAGTCTATAAAAGACTGCAATAACATAATAGAAGTAGTAATTTTTTTTTTTTTACCAAGTTCAATGCAGCAGTGTAACATATCTCATTTTTATACCTCTCATGCAGGATTTGTTTCTTTTGTTTAAGCTATTATGATAGCTACCTTATCCCATCCCATTGTTCTGGGTAGTTGTATTTGTGCTATGGATGAATTAAGTCTTAGATGCAGACAGTGCAGTTCTGCACTAAGTATCATTGATCTACTTCAAAGAAGACCTGAGATGAAAGTAGATGCATGGAAAATCATTAATATTCAGTCAGAAAGCAGAAAATCAAATTATGTTAAAGCTTTCCATTTAAATAAACTGCATAAATGAGTACTCCAGCTAGGAGTTTACCTGCCTTAGTTTATTGCAAAGAACCTAGGAATATGTGGTCTTAAAATAACTAACAGCAAAGACACTGGGTAAAGTTTACTAGGGTAAAGGATATTAAGAAAGGATATTAATTCTTTAGGGTTAAAGTCGAGAGTTGAATGTTTTGGTGAGAAGAAACCTCTCCAAACATACTTTAATTGAAAACAGTTTGAGTTTTTAAACATTGTATCCAGTATTAGTCACTACAGGAGGAGAGGTAAACATGTTGTGTATCCACTTAGGTTGACAGAAGAGCACAGTTATTAGAGTAAGAGTAGTTTCTGAGAAGTTATTTTTACTTCGTTTGACAGAGTTTCCAGTTCTAGCATGTTTGTCACGTACCTTTCTTTCCTTCATCAAGAAAAATAGTTTAAGGTTTCATGTACTTGGGGAAAAACTAGTATTACCATGGCAGTTGGACTAGATGATCATTGTAGGTCCCTTCCAACTAACTATTGTAGTCTATTCAAATATTGCAAGGGTCCACACTTTAAAAGTTTTGTGTTTTTTTTTAAATTATTAGGGTGTTCTATGTCTATAATGCATGTAATTACAAAATCTAGATTTTTGATAACTTTGGTATGATTGTATTCATTTAAGACTAAGACCTGCCAAAAAGATTTATTTATATCTCATATCTTATATTTTACAACTTAAAAATACACAGGGAGCTGCTTTCACAGCATTTGCTATTGGAAAGGCATGCTTCTATAGAAATTTAATTCAAAGACTAGCATCTAGAGCCCATGCATTAGCTTATATGTTCATGTAAGAACAAAGTTAAAAATGCAATTCTGTTATATTTTCTAACTACTAATTTGAAGGATTGAACTGCCTTTTAAAATAATTCTTTTTTTAAACAAGGATCTATAGTTGTTGCAGAAAAGCTAGCAACATGGTTGCAGCGGATACCCCTATCAGCAATCTGACCTCAAAACACTGAATATGAGGCAGCAGTTTCATTCACAGTGAACTTCTGAATCTTTCCATGAATGGTAATTGAAAGCATCAGGTCTTTAGTTTCATGCCTCCTAAAGGCCCCAACAGATAAAGTTGATAGGTAAAACAGTGGTACTTTAGGACATTGTCATCTCGACCTGCCTGCACTACATTCAGCATTGTAACATGCAACAGAGTTGGCAAGACGGAGCATGTTTGCATTGCCGTAGTTTATAGTCACATTTTGGCTGAAACCTACCAATGCATCTGGCTTTGTAGTAAAGTACTGGAGTGCTGGTACACACTCTGTGCTGTTAATCCAGGCTGTGAGATGCGATGAAAGGGAAACTGTTGTGTTCCAACATTCTACAAAGCTATTTATAATAGCCAGATGTGGCTAAATTGTCAGGTACTCACATAGCAAACAACCTGACATTTGATGGCTGTATAATGTTCTCTTACAACACTCAGAATGCAGTAAGTCAGTAACTGGTGTTTCTTTTTATTGCTTAAGAATTACATGAAGTAGCTTCATTATAAGTTGATATTTTGCTGTTTAATTTACCATTTATTTTCTGTTGCTCTTGCTGAAGTAAGACTTGAGAAAATGTGTCATGTGTACAGTTAGACACAGGTCCACTCCTTTGAAAAAAAATGTACAATTTTTTTTTTTACATTTGTTACAGGCACTTGCAAGAAGCCATATGTGGCACTTATTGATGGCATTACAATGGGAGGGGTAAGTTAAGTACCTCGGTGTGATATCCGATATAATTTGTTTTAAAGTAATGTAATATTCTGTACTTGAGCTGAATGAAGTGCACGCATGGCATTTCAGACATTTCAATTCAATAACATTGTCATCTGAACCTTTGTCTCTTGCTTGTCAGGTACGATTGCTGCTCTTCTAGTGCTTCTGTGGTTCTTTCATAGCTAGTGCAACTGCTTTCTCTGAGGATCTGGCAATTGTGTTGAGAAAAAGAGCAGAATCCTGTCACTGTAAGAAACACCCCTCACAAAGGTTTTCGGAACACTGAAGTGTGAGTTTGTAGATCATACAAGAGCTGAGAAGAATTTTCCACTTGAAGTGTACTAAAAAAATAGAACTATATAAAAATACAATTAAAGGACAACTCTTTGAAAAATTGGAATAATATCATTCTAAGCTATACTTTAACAGACATTCATGAATTCTGTATTTTTCCAACAAGTAATCTGGAAATGCATCTCCCTTTTTCACCTCTGTAGTACTCCTAAAACATGAATTACAAGATCCCGATTCCTCCCCACCCCTGCCAAGGCCTTATTACTAAAGCAACATGGAGAATACTCCATCACATTGCTAGTTATACTCAGTGCTAATAATTGTTTCAGCAATTGTTGGCTCTGAACACTGTGAGTAGGTAGTTAAAAGGGCAATACCACGCTTTTCTACATGCTAAAATGCTATTCTCTTCAGTTTGACATCTGTTGGATATATTTGCATCATAGCAGGGAGTAGAATACAATAATCTTAAGTTATTTTGAACAATGAGTTTGACAGTGAAGTCTGTCTGCCATATTATCACTTAGATTTACATTACTTTCTTGCACGTCAATATGATATGGGTGTACAGTCTATTTAAATTAAGTTTGTCAAAGATAGGATGCAAGAAGTGGGACACTACATGATCCATCACCTGCCATGACTCTTCCCTTTCCATCTATCTTTGCACCTTTCATTTTGTCTGTTTTGGTTGTGTTGTTTTCAGCTTGTGATCGAGACATGCAATAGCTCTCTTCCCCTTTGCTTCTCTGCTACCGAGCCCCAAAGATCTCAGCTGGATGACCATTCCCCTCGCTCCCCCCCCAGTCTAGTGTACATAAATTGTTTCCAGCATAAAGGGGACTAGTCTTGTAGCTCTTCTTGCAGAAAAAGGTTTTTATTGAACATAAGAGACCTGAAGATTTGTGGATAAGAGATAGGGAGTCCATTTATTTTAAGGAGTTTTGAATAATAGCATGGATAGCTATGAAAGAGCAAAACTGCCCAGCAGCTGATGTCTTTTTAGAGGTCCTATAGATTGCTCATTATGATTGTGGCCTAAGCAGGAATAGAATTTTGTCCTTTGAAAGGAAAGTATTTTTTTGGACTGAAAAGAGCATAATGGAGTCAGACGATCCTGCATTACTAAGATTCTTTATTAGTTCCCTTTCTTTTAAGGAGCTTTTAAAAGACAGCAGTTAGTCTGAAACATTAGTTGGATACCCATATTTTAGTATAGGATACCCCAATTTCAGTGGGACCTTGACAGAGTCTAACCGCCATTAGAGTTTGAATGACAACTTACTTGCTTATCCTCAGTTTGGTGATACTAGTAGCAGTTACCTTCATTTGAGGGTAGGGGACTAGATTTTGATTGAGCAAGTATGCAACCTAACTTAGGGGAACAAGCAGGTAGGTCTCAAGTGCCACGCTACTTTTAAAATTTTTTTTTAACCTTGAGTGCTATTTAATTTGTGCTTGTTAATACAGCTGCAGTTTACTCTGAGATAATGTCCTTCCTACAGGAGCGCATGTTTTCATCAACACTTTGTTTTTCTTCCCCTCTCTCATTGGCAGTACATGGAAGTATCTACTGATAATTTAACAAAGGAGGTCAGCAGTAGTATTTCTCAACACTGATTAATTTTTGTGTATGTTTTGTGTTAGTTTTGAGTTGTCCTCTATGCTTTTCCTTTCAACCACCTCCTCTCTCTGTAAGATTTGTTTTGATTCCTCTCAGTGCTTACATAGGAAAAGTGCGTTAGCTCCCATCTTTCCCCCACCCTCTTCTCTCACCATTTTCAGCACTGTTTTCAGCACCCCATCACAACTGACCTTAACCAAACTTGAGGCTTGCAGCATCTGTTTTCTATTCTGGTGCAAATAGGTTCACTGCAGTAGGATTTTATAGATTAAAACCACTAGAAGAGCCCTTGAACTTGTCATGGTCATACTGTTATCTTGTTCTGCTTGCTGTATGGAAGTACTCTGTCCTACTGTAATCACTAGACCCGCATTCATACGAAGGAGTTACACTATTCATGGTATAATTAGATGGTTTGTTTTAAATCACTCAGATGCTAGGATCTATTTTTTTGACACAATCAGGTCATATTTCATCTATTTCATATGCTCAAGATCTGGCTATCTTAGTCCCTACAAGTCAGTGGGAGCTAGGAACATTTGTCAGTTACAAACTACAGTAAATGCCTTTAAAAAAATTTTACATTCAAGCCCTTGGCTTTAGAAGCAAGTAGTTTTAGCTTGGGCTTAAAAATCAAGGGACACCTCTTAAACACTGCAACTTCACTATAGACCATTTATCTATGAATGAAAATGGAAGCACATCAATCTCAACCTTGCTCAAAAAAGCAGCACTACGCACGTGGAGTGCTCTGTTGTTCTAATTTAAAATAAATTAAAAATCACACAGTGTATTAGAAACTCAGCTATTATGTGCTTAGATAGTAAAAGTTGCTACTGGTGCACAGATACCAGATTTGTGATGGTAAAACTTGGAATTGTATCCAAAAAATGAAATGGTTCCACTTCAGCATTGTTGGCTAGAGGCTGGTAGATGACTTTCTTCACAGCTTAATTAGCCAACAGATGGGGCTGTGGAGCTTGTTTTCTGCACCTTCTTGTCTATACTCCTGTAGTTCATCAAAAATTGATACTCAATATAAATGTATCTTTTCATCTTTTTGTACTTACTCAGAACAGTAGATTCAAGTGACAAGTATGTTTGATGAAGCAAAGATGACTGCATTTTACTAGAAAATAGTGAAACAAGTTATAAATACTACATGTACTGCTAAAGGGCGTATGCTGTTGAAAGACACACTGGGCACATACTCTCATGTTGCTAAAAACTATTATTCACATTATTTTAGTTGACTTCTAGCCATAGATTTTTATTTCCTTGAAATTAATTACCTGAACAGTAGACAAGAAATGCAAGAGTATTTAAATGTCCTTTTTTTTTTTTTAATATTATTGTCTGTAAAGGAGGTCCTAAACTTGACCTTCTTGGTTCTAGAAAAGTCCCAATCTTTTCCTGAGTTCTTTCGAGATGAATGGAAGTGTGCTTTATAAGCTCAGTCTAAATCTATGGTTTTAAATACGGCTTTGGCACAAAATATATTACAGTGTCAGATACTCTCTCTAACAGGCTAAAAGGATTAATAAAAATGTATTTTAAACATGTTTCAGAGCCAAATAAAGTACACTAGACAGATTTGAGTGGTGGCTTTCGGATTATTTGACTTAGAATTCAAGGTGAATATTTGACAGCAAAAAAACCCAACAAACCAGGGCATAGACTTTGGAAGTTAATGAATGTGGTCCAGGTCATTGGGCTAACTTTATGTAAAGTGTACTTAAAACTTTAGTGGCATATTGCCAAAGCAGAAGTACATCATTTTCAGGAGCCAAAGGCCATTGCTTTTAGTTTAGGGAGGAATCTGCAACAGCGTGTACAAAGCACCTTCTTCCTTAGTCATATTCTCACCATATTCTAGAGCATGCATGATTTAGAAACTTCCTGAGCTAGGCTTTATTTCAGAACCACAGTGCTAAATAACCATCAGTAATCATGCTTCTCTCTCTATTGATCTTGTATTTTTTGACATTAAGTAGGCTTGGTCTTCAGAAGGGCCTGTGGCAATTGGTTTCACAGTTCAGTTTTGTGCTTTATGAAAGGCAATTTGCTGTTGTTTCAGGCCTATCATCTAATATTATTGAATGCTTATGTGTTTAGTTGTTAATAAGACCAAAATAGGCCCTAAAATATCTATTTATTTATTTATTAATTGATGAGTAAAGACTGTTGCTCAAACATAGGAATTCTTGGCTTTGGACAATTAAATCCAGGATTTAATCCTTTAGTCTGACCTCTTACACAGTGTATTTGCTAAGTTTATTTTAGCAAGTTACGGATTTCATAGAATCATAGAATCATTAAGTTTGGAAAAGACCTCTAAGATCATCGAGTCCAACCGTCAACCCAACACCACCATGCCCACTAAACCATGTCCCTAAGCACCTCATCTACCCATCTTTTAAATACCTCCAGGGATGGTGACTCAACCACTTCCCTGGGCAGCCTGTTCCAATGTTTAACCACTCTTTCAGTAAAGAAATTTTTCCTCACGTCCAATCTAAACTTCCCCATTTATAAAGGTTATGCCATTATGTTACACTTCTTGCTTTAACAATTAATGCTTTGAGTTTTAGGATGAGAAAACATCTTCCTGTGGGGCAAGAAGATTTTAACTTGTATGGTAATGTGCAACACTTTCAGTACAGAAAGGGAGTTTGGTAGAGTTGCCAGCTCGCTTAAATCCTTTGCAAAGCCCTGTGCTTTGAGTTATTCTGAGACTCTTATTTTCTAATCTTCATGTTTAGGGAGAGTAATAGGAAGTTGGAACTTTAATATAGCTCGCAATTTAAAGAGATAAAGGTCACCCAATCTTACTTCCATCCCTGACTCCTCGGATTCTAGGACCCAGTTTGTGAGAGTGGTAACAGTACACAGTACTGGCTGCTTTATTCTCTCCCCAGTAGAGAAGGACCTTGGGTATACATACGGACTGTGAATATGAGAAGACAATCTGTTAATTGGGTCTTTTGGTTCATGAAGGGCTTTCCATTAGTTTTGTCAACACACCTAGCAGTACAGTTTTTTTAGGCAAGGGCTTTTACTTAAACTGAGA